ATCAGTGGTCAGCAAACTCATTAGTCAACAGAGCCAAATATCACCAGTACAACGATTGAAATTTCTTTTGAGAGCCAAATTTTTTAAACTTAAACTATATAGGTAGGTACATTGTTATTAAATTAATTAGGGCACTCCTAAGGCTTAGGAAGAGCCACACTCAAGGGGCCAAAGAGCCGCATGTGGCTTGCGAGCCCCAGTTTGCCGACCACGGACCTAACATGTTAAAGCTGGGAGTCAGATGAGCAAGTGAAAACCCACAGGTGGGGTTGGGATTTGGGAGTTGCTGACGGTCATTACCTGCCGCCGTGTTACAACCGCCCGCAGCCCGGAGTCCCCCTCTCAGGCGGTTTCCGTCGGAGGCTGCTCCTGGCGGTGGGCTGGCTGCCACCAGGGCGATGGGGACGTCAGTCAGGGTCTGGTGTGACTCAGTGGGCCAGCCAGCTTCTTCACACAAACACAGCTGAGGAGAGCCATCCACGCGCAGGCACCTGCCCCGTCTGGCACCAGTTCACGGGGTGGAGATGGCCAGCCTCTGAGGGGGCGGCCTGCAGGGTCACGGGGTCGTGTCATCCGGTGTGAGGCCAGGAAGCAGGGGGCCACTCTATCACCTGCCGTGATGGTCCTACAGTCCATTTCCACTGGACGGTTTACTGAAGTGTCTTCTTGCCCAGCTGTGGGAGGCCAACATCTATTTTCATTCTTGCGACTTTTCCACACAGAATTAGCTACGTAATCCTCAGGGCCCAAGGCAAAATGAAGATGCCACCCCCTTGTTAATAACCTTACTAAGAGTGTGAGACAGCAGGGTGTTCAGCCTCGTGCTGCGCCCTGTGGAGTGGGGGGGGGGCTGAGCCACAGCAGGGGAGCGAGCCCACCAGACGGCCCTGTTCCCACAGGAGAAAGGAACAGCGTGGCCTCTGTGTGTCATGTCATTTCACACGCTGGTTGCCCGCCCCCCACCCCCAGCCAAGCCACAGTGTTAGCTGCTGTGCGTGCTTGTCACACTCCCCAAGCAACCACCCTTCTTCTCTGTGCAGACGGTGTCTACGCGCTCCAGGCGGTCCTTTACAGCGAGTCTCATGGGGCTGAGGTGCGACTTGGGCCTTACTACGTGGAACTGGGCCCCGAGGCCACATCTGTGTTCCTGAATGCCAGCAGTGTCCTCAGGGGCCCCATGTGTGCCTTCGGGGGCTCCCCCACGGATCCGAGAAGTAAGCCGTGCACCTGGGCGCTGGGCACCCGGCCCCACGCTCTGGGCGTTTACATCCTCGCAAGTCCCCATGCAACACAGAAGAAAACCATTTCAAAGGCACTGACACAGCGTCCAGGCAGGGCCCTCTCCAGAGAGAAAACACTTAACTTTTTAAAAAATATATATATTTTTATTGATTTCAGAGAGAAAGGGAGAGGGAAAGAGAGATAGACACATCAATGATGAGAGAGAATCATTGATTGGCTGCCTCCTGCACGCCCCACACTGGGGATCGAGCCCACAACCCAGGCATGTGCTCTGACCGGAAATCGAACTGTGACTTCCTGGTTCATAGGTCGATGCTTAACCACTGAGCAACACCAGCCGGGCGACACTTAACATTTTACTGAAAGAAATTTTGTGACAAAGTACATGTTTCCCAGGCCTGTCTGTTTCCAAAACACAAACTTTGAATTTTGAATGTATTGGAATTGAAGGAGAGAAGATGGAGGAATGGGAACTATGGACATGTGTGACAAGGGAAGCAGCTCTGAGACGGTCTCCCTCTGCCTTTCACTCTCCTTCCAGGCACCACCGTTTCCCACCGTTTTCCACCCACTTCCTCCTGTAACGTGTCCTTCGCCTTGCAGACCCACGTGGGGGGCAGGCGGGCCTGGTCCAGCGTGGCCGTGCGATATCGGATGCAGCGTACGTTTCTATTCTAACTCCAGGTCTAATGAACCCTTTGCAGTCAGTTGAGGTTAAGGCCATGGCAGCACCAGGTCTGTGGTTCGCTCTGCCGAGGCCCCGCTCGCCATGAGCCGCAGACCTGGAGGCCTGAGCAGGTGGGCGGTTCCATGCAGAGTCAGCAGAGGGGCCAGGTCCCCTGATGAGCTCGGGCCCAGTGCCCCCGGGTGCCCACCACTGCTCTGTGTACAGTCAGGCGTCCAGATGCCCGTGGCCACGCGGGAAGGTGGGGACTCGACTTCCCTGGCAGATCCCAGCCCTCCTGCTGAGGTACCCCTTATCCCCTCTGTCACAGCCGTCTCTGTCTACACCAATGGAACTGTGTTTGCCACTGACACCGACATCACTTTTGTGGCCGTTACCAAGGAAACCACCTTCCTGGAGTTCACGTGGTTCTTCGGAAAAGACCTGCCCGTGAGGACAAGGCGCAGGAGCATCCAGAGAAGGCTCGGTGCCCCCCAGTGGTGCGTAGTGGTCCTCACCACGGGCAGCTGTGGCAGGCACAGCGCAGCCTGCAGATGCCGAGCTGGCACTGACATGAGGTCGTGTCACCCGCACACGGAGCGCTGCCCGTGGTTTGGTCACACACGTAGATCTGAAGGCCGCAGCGGAGGGTGGGGCCTGAAACCAGGCAGTCCAGGCGCAGGTGCCGTTCCGCCCCATGGCGGCCTCAGCGTGTTCCTCCGGTAAGGACGGTGGCAGTCTCTCCATGGCCGTGACTGGTGCCTCCATGATCAAGAGGGAGGTCAAGGTGTCACCCCTCTGCCCAGTGAGGCGCAGCCACCGGGCGCCCCATCATTTCTGAAGATGACCGCTAGCTCCCGCCTTTCTTGGGAGAACGGTGGAGTTTCTCTCTCTCTCTCTCTCTCTCTCTCTCTCTGACCTGGCGCTGGTCACCACCTGACCTTCCTGTCCCCCCACAGGTACCACGTGATGGTGCAGGCTTCCAATGGAATGGGCAGCGTGGCCTCGGAGCCCCGCCGTGTCCAGGTGCAGAGGAGAGTGGTGGCCAGCGGACTCGTGGCCGCGGACTCGGCTCTGGTGAACGCTCCCGTGACCTTCCAGTGCAGAGTCAGCTTCGGCACCGACGTGGCTTACCGCTGGGACTTTGGGGACGGCACTGGTGGCCGGGGGAACAGCTCCGCCAGCCACGTCTACAGCAGGTGAGCGCACTGTCAGCAGGACCCGCGTTCTCGTGCTCCGGGACCTCCCTGCGCGACCCCTGCAGTCCTGAGTGCCTGCCCACGGGCATCATTTGCAGAACAAACATGCGTTTCCTCAGAAAGCACCACCTCTTGGCCCGGAACTACCTGCCACACTCTTCCCGGTCTGGCCTCTCGCCCAGCTGGGCCCCTCTGCCCGCCCTCCCCTCCCCGCCCCCGGCCGGCCTTGCCTCCAGGCGGTGGGGTCTGCCACCTCTGGGACAGGACACAGAGCACAGGGAGGTCCGGAGGTCCCCAGACCCAGGTCCGGGTGCCCACCCCCCGGGGACCTAAGGGTGTCCCTGAGGGGTACAAAGGGGCGAGCCCTGCTGTGGGTGGGGCTCCCAGGAGGGAGGCAGCATGTCCCCTGTGGGTGCTCCTCGCACAGCAGGTGCCAGCCATCTGGGTTCGGTGTCTGTCCGGCCTGTGCTGGGCAGGCAGCGCCTATGGATGGGCCTGGTGGCCTCTGGGATGGCCTCCTGACCGTGACACACAGACCTGCTGGGTGTGAGGATGAAGGGCCGGCCTGGGTGGACCCTGTGTCTCCATGTTTGTGCTTGTCTCCTCCCAGGGAAGGAGAGTTCACGGTTGAGGTCATCGCCTTCAATGCCGTCAGCGCCGTCTCCCTGAAGAAGCGCCTTTTCGTCGTGCGCAGGCCCTGCCAGCCGCCCCCTGTGAAGAACATGGGGCCGGGGCAGGTGCAGGTCAGGCCTGCATCACTGACCAACATCAGCCTTTCTCCGGGGGAGGGGGGCGGGGCGCGAGCAGGGACACTCCTCCAGGTCAGCTCCCTGAGTTGGTCATGAAGGCACCTAGGCGGGCTCCTGAGGTCCTGGAGTCGACCGACCCCAGGGAGGGACATGCCTGCCCCAGGCCTCTGAGTCTGCCTCCATTCACCTGTTACTCTGGGTTCGGCTCAGTGCATCTTGACGAGCTGGTGAGACCCCTGTGCTAGGAACTGGAGCGTGTTCAGGAGAGAGGGGAGCCGGGAGGTGGTCATTTGCTTGGTGAGCACCTGCTGTGGGGACAAAACTAGGGCTGCTTTCTAGTCCTTTTACCCCTGGAGGCTTCTGACCTGGAGCACCTTTTCCTTTTTAGGGTCAGAGTGCCCACACGCAGACGCACGGGAGCCCCGTGGCGTGGCTGCATTTGCCAGGAGCTCTCCGTGGCTTCTAGCAGAGGGTGGTCGCTGGGCCTGAGTCTCAGGTTGGGCACCTCCCGCCCTGATGTGGCTGCGGAGATGAGGGAGCACAGACATGCCCAGGGCCAGGCCAGGGCCGTGGCCTTTCCATGGGATTCTCCCTCCGGGTCCTGAGCCCCAGGACCTCACAGCTCCCTGGGGCCTGGAGAAGCCTGGCCCACACGTCAGCCTCTCAGAGCCGACTCCCGCCCCAGGCATTTCCTAGTTTTGTGTGTTATGATCACTGGGATAAGAATCAGCATCTCAGTGTTAGGTGCCCACAAATCTGGGCTGTGAAGTGACAAATGCTGGGATCGCTCATATCCAGGATAGAAACAATAAGCACAATTGTAAAGTAATTTAGATAATGACTAGAGTCACTTAAAGAAAACTTAAGGTAAAGTTGTTTGCAACAAATACCAATGTGTTGTTTAAAGTCCTACTTCCCAGCTCCAGACTGGGCTCTTTCCAGTTTCAACGGGAGAGCTTCACTAAAAGTCCTCCAGGGGGCGCCCTGCACCTGTGGCCAGCGTGGGAGTTCGTTCCACTGGGCAAGATCTGCACTTGCACTGCACCTGAAGGACAGTCCTCGGGAATATTTTGTTCCGTTGCTCCATGGGCTGTCGACATTGTCTCTCAGTGCTCCAGACGCCCATGGGCCGCACACCTCGTTTATTCGGCCCGTGTTAGCCTTTGAGTTTGACATGCTTGGACTAGAGCCTCAAAATGCTGTATATTAAGGTCACTTGAAACACATCTTCATTCTATGTTACTTGTTTGAAATGCAGTTACTTTCTTTTGTTTCCAGGGATCAATTGCTCGGTTTCCAATGATCAGTTGCTCAGTTTTCTGTTGGAGACTTGGAAAATTTTCTATTGATTTTAAATATTAACCCTGTCACATATTTTGCAAATGATTTCCCTTTTTCTCTGATTGCTTTTTTAAATAATATTTTTATATTCAAAGTTTAACATTTTTATATAATCAAATCTATTGACCTTTTCCTTTCATATTTTCCCATTAATTTATGCTTATAGGGGTTTTTCTCATGGAGTGTATAAGTCTTTATTCTCACTGACTGTGATCACACAGACACAGAGCTGAAGTCCTGCGTCTTGAGCCACTTCCTCTGGAACAGGTAGAAGCATTTCTGATGAGACATCTTTCTCCTCACGCAGGTGTGGCGGTCCCAGCCTGTGACACTGGGAGTGACCTTCGAAGCCGCCATTCTCTGTGACATCTCCCAAGGCCTCTCCTACAGCTGGAGCCTCGCCAACTCCGCGGGGTTGCCGGTGCCCCTGCCTCCTGCCGTCAGCACCCACAGGCAGACCTTCACTGTCCCCCACTACTTCCTGGAACCCGGGAACTACACTGCGCTGGCCCAGGTGGGTGGCAGCTGGCGGCGGCACCTGCCCAAGCTCATGCTCCCTTCCCATCAGCCTCAGAGACCCTGGGACCCGGACCGGTCCGTCCCAGAGGAGGGCTCTCTTAAATCCCTGGCATTCCTTTAAGGCCATGATATGTTTGGGGTTAGAAAGGCAGCTTAAGCAAGGGTAAGCTAAACAAAATCAACACCATGGGAAAATTTACTGTCGGCAGAGCAGGTTATAAACCAGGGAATAGTTGGATGTATGTCCCCAGACCCAGAACCCCAGCTTCATGTTAACACAGACACAGAGAGGAAAATGCTCCTGCTCCTGTACCCCCGCCCCTCTGTCCCCATGGGCCTCCCGCTCCTGTACCCCAGCCTCTCTGTCCCCAGTGGGCCTCCCGCTCCTGTACCCCAGTCCCTCTGTCCCCAGTGGGCCTCCTGCTCCTGTACCCCAGCCTCTCTGTCCCCAG